AACTGTGTAAAAATGGTCTAAAATGAATTATGCAAGAGTAGATAAGAAGATTAACTGAGTTTAGATTAATATCTTGAAATAAAATTGTTGGGGAGACCTTCATTTCGTATAAAAATTCATGAAGACTCGTAGGTTGATCTCACCAGAAGACAACGGCTGAATCGCATTGTACTTCAGCCGTTTGTCTCTAATTCGACGTTCAGGTGGACGCAATCCATGAGACATCCCACCTCACTTCCAATGAAAATGGGTTGAACTTTCGTCCATCATATAATAGACATCATAGCTGGAATTCATTCTTTTAAAAGTTTCACGTTAATACTAGGTCAAGAAGACTATCCGGCTCCATCTTACCTCTTACATCATATGATGAACGAAAGCCCAGCCAATTTTCATCCGAAGAAAGGTTGGATGTCTCGTGGACTGCGTCAACCTAAATGTCGTAATAAGGCCGAGCGATTACAGTACAAAGGGATTCAGCCGTCGTCTTCTGATGAGATCTACTAATTTCTTCTTCGTGTATTTTCATACGAAATGAAGGTCTCTCCAACAGTGAAAAAAGTAGTAAAAACAAAATGATAAACAGAAACATTAAGTAAAACATACTAGACCCGGAGAGAACAGATAATCCCGATCCAGGAAAGGAGGCCAAGGGGTCGTGACCTGAGATGCCAGTCCCTAATGCACCAAGAGGTAGATTATTCGAATTACTTAAGCCTGGAATTCCGGGAACGGTAGTAGAAACATCGGTGGAAGTGGTGAGATTTCCAGGGTTGCCAATTCCTACACTAACGGGCTTATACAATCGCCCTTTGTTAGTCAAACTATTTTTATGTTGAGAAGGAAGCAAAGGCATATCTGAGATTCCAGGAAAAACAGGGGCAAACTGTCGATCAGATCCTGTGGCCTGGCCAGTAAAGGCGCTATGGATCCCTGTAGCAGAAGCAGGCGACATCAGTGGTGTGTTCGGATAGCGCAGGCGGCCGGCCATCACACCTCCAGTCGGCTGGTAACCGGTAGATGTTGCAACTGGGTTAAGTGAGAGTGCGTTCTGTTGCGCAGCGCACATCATTTGGCGTTGCATCTGGAAGACACGGAGCTGTTGCTGTTGTTGCTGGAAAAGAAGCACTTGCTGATTTTGGGCCATCAGACGTTGGTGTTGGGCAAGCGACATGCCTAAAATCTTTTCTTCCTCAAACTCACGCCAGGCTTCTTGACGCTCAGATTCAGTAAGACCCTCATCAATGCGATTCTCGATCAAAGAATCGTGGTTATGATAAGAAGAGATCAAATAGAGATGATCTAGAAGCATATCAGCAAGAAGACGATCTTTGGGCACATTTGAGGTAGGCCTTTTGTCAGTTGTTGATTCATCCCAAATATCAGGTTCAAATGTATACAGGGCCTGCAGGTCGCTATCAGTAAAATGACGATCGATCTGCTGTTCATCAACAACACGAAGAGCAAGAGACTGTTTAGTCACCTGAAGCAATAAAAGGAAAAAAAA